TAGAAAGAAGAGATTCAGAGAATAGGTTTAAGTCAAATTTGAGAAGCCCGCGTACCACACACACACAAAAAACCCACAAACAAACAAAACAAAACAAAACAAAAAAAAGGAATTATCAAAAGTGAAAGGTCAGGGGCAGGGTATGGGAAGCCTTCAAACTATCTGGAGGTACCAATTCAAATCCATTTCAGGCTGTGATCTCAGCAGCTTGGCCCAAAGTACCAGATAATCTGAGGAGACTCAGGCACCACCTACTGAAGAGTCTGTTTCTAAATTCTACTGTTCCACTGACTGAGGATGGGGCGGGGGGCGGTGATTTATCCCAGCAGCAATACCAAGCTAACTTTGGGCTAGAGTTGAGCATTACGTTCTCAAACCCCAACATCCTTACCAACAATTCTTTCCAACCTCCTCAAAGGTTTCCTAAATGGGAACATCGTAAGGGCCTCTGATAAGGAAGAATGCTACCAACCTCACCTCAGAATTAGTGGGAGCTCAAAGCCCAAGTGCAGTGCCCAGCTCCTGCTGCTCCGGGCTGAGCCCTAAAGGTGCTCCCCAGGGGATTCTCAAGCACACACCCTGGTAAGAACCCGATGAACCATTATACACAGCACTGAGCTGAATAAACTAGCCCCAAAGCTCCTGCCCAGGCCCTCTCCTATGTAAACACAATTGTGCAGGGTACATAAAAGTTTAGAGAAAATGATATACAAACTCAATCTGCCAAAACTTACGGCCTCAGAAAGGAAAAGAATATATAAAGTCCACTTATATCTATCAAAGTAGTTCCCAAACAGGTCAGGGCATCAGAATCACCTGGGAAAGGCTTTTTAAATTGCCACCTGGTAGTCCCACGTACACTTTTTGAATCAGCACCTCCAATGGTGGAGCCCCCAGTGATCCTACAGGATCAGCCCATGGGCTGGGAATCTTTGCCTTAGTCTATGCTCATTGCCAAGAAAATACAGCTGTTAGGTTAGCAACTTAAGCAATAATGGCTGGCAAATGGAAATAGAAAGAAGAGATTCAGAGAATAGGTTTAAGTCAAATTATAAATGTTCTCCCTAGTCGTGCCAGCAGGAGACAGACCTTATTTGGAAGTGCATCCTCTCACTCGGGGTGTCAACGGACCTACACTGCATGTCCGACCCAAGCAGTACGTCCACCACTGGGGAAAGAGGCAACAGTTGGTGACATTTTTTGTTTGTTATATCTCACTGTTGACAAACAGCATGTTGCTTGCTTCCCCCTGTTGTCCCCGTGCCAAGGTAGACATCACCAACGGATTGCGGCCCTCTTTCCCAGGGAAGCCAAACACGCCTCAGTCTCCCCCGAACAGATTACCACTGCCAAAGGTGGGAGCTGGCTGGCAAAGGCAAGGGCTTGTGCCCTCCCTGTCTTGAAGTGGCAGCTTAGCAACTGGACTTCTCTGCAGACCATGGCCACCACCATGCCAATACCCAAAGCAATCCAAACGAGACCCTTGAGGAAACAATGTGTCCCCAAAGCAATGCAAGTATTTTCCTGTTCAGTGATGTACCTAAGTTCGGGGGTAAACGTGCCAAGTTTTAACCTGCATCCTCAGGTCCGTATCAACATATCTGAATGACCCAACAGACCAGGCCCAGTGCTGGGATGAACCTCCTCCACAAAATCTTCCCCAAACACCTCAGTCTGATTTCATTATGCCCTGCACACTGGTTAGGTCCCATCTGTGCCCACGTCCCCTAAAAGACTGCAGATTCCTCACAGGAACCCCTAGACTCCAGTCCTAGAATGGAGATGTGCATTCATGCAGTGAGAGCAAAGATGAAGCAATGGAGATGACCTCACATCTCAACTGGAAAATGAACCAACTACACTGAGGGAACCGGGATTGCAGATCTCTGATCACCTGGCAGGGAAAGGTGCACGTATGAAACGTTTGGTCTTCTAGGCCACTCTGGACTCACCAGGGACATATATCACCCAACACTGAATGTGTTATTTCTGTTAAGTGTTTGGTACCTGGAGCTCCCAGACCCTAGCTTTCTAAAGCAGCAATAGATTTTAAGGAAGACCTCACAACTGAGAGCCATACCCTAATGGAAACATGAGTACCCCAAAATTAAAATAAAAAATAATGGATGCTTTGTAAGATCTGTTAGCATTGACATGAATAAGAAATGACAGAATATTTGCTTCTAAGAAGTGGCCCATCCATCACGGTACATTATCAAAGGTATGAAAATCAGGGAACACCATTGAGGAGACAGCCTCCAAATGCAACAGAACAGAGAAGAAAGCAGGATAAAAATACTGAAAAGGCAAAATACACGGGCATTTTATAAGATGGTTAAAATTTCCAAGACTGATCTGAGGTCTTGGGCTAAGTCAGAGAAAGCAGGATCATCTACTATCCAGATGCAGAAAAGGTTAACCTGTAGAAAAGGCCTGACAGGAAATTCCCCCTGAGCGTCAGCTAAAACTAAAGACACCTAGTTAGGACTAATCTAGAGCTAATGAAAGACCTAAGACTCTCCAAGTTGAGAGAATAAAGGGGGTGAGATGTCTAGGAGTCACCCACTTTCACTTCTAAGGGTTCAAAACAGCATTATAATTAACAGGGCTATAACCAACACATATTTAAGTCCAAAAGGTACCTACCTTGGGTACATATTCCTAGGAAAAACTCATTTTCTATGTTGTAAACTATATGGGGCTTTATTCTTCTTATCCATCAACAAACCACTGCTAAGATAAGAAATCCTAAAGTGTTTTTCTTCACTCAAGGGAATACCATTACAATTTCATTCTGTCTACAAAGATCAACAACAAGAAATAACAAAGTATAGAGTGACTGGCATTTTTAAAATATTCTTAATGTGCTTCTCAATCCTGAGCATTTTATTTTTTTAACATCCCCCAATCCAAAGGGTACCAAAGGAGATGCAGTATAAACATTTCAATGTGGATATCTGCAGTTTAACAATTATCTACCTTAATAACTGTAGCTATAAAATTTTAAGAGCTATAGTATTTTGGTGGCAATTAGAGTTATTGATATTTCTGAAATTCATTTGAGGTTTTACTAAAACTTGAGCAAAAAACTGACTTCTAATATGACTTTGGAAATAAGTTTTACAATCTTAACATTATTAAGAAAAACTTAGTGCCATGAATTTAAATTAAACCTGTATTTAAAATTCAATCAAACTAATTGCTCTTGATCAAAATACTGATATACTTAAAATATATTTAATATTGACTCAATTTAATGGGAAGAATATTCACTCCACTTATAATCAATATGTTGAGATTAACACTTTTTTTTTTTTTTTTTTTTTTTGCGGTACGCGGACCTCTCACTGTTGTGGCCTCTCCCGTTGCAGAGCACAGGCTCCGAACACGCAGGCTCAGCGGCCATGGCTCACGGGCCCAGCCGCTCCGCGGCATGTGGGATCCTCCCGGACCAGGGCACAAACCCACGTCCCCTGCATCAGCAGGCGGACTCTCAACCACTGCGCCACCAGGGAAGCCCAACACTTTTATTAATTCTCTACAATAGTCAAGAAAAAGACTGATGCCACTCACTGTTCAGACAAATTTAAAGATATCAGATGTGCAAGTTACAATGAGAAATGACAAACATTAAGCCACTCCTCAACTCTGTCTTGCTGCATAAGGTACTACCACAGTGAGAGCGTAACAGCTCTCTTAGAGACCTGGACTTAGGTTGCAGGTACTCAAATCATTGATGAAAAGAACTACGCTGCATTTACTTCTAAAAGGATGTATGTGGCAGCCTGGATGTAGGGCGTCAGCAATTCTAAATAACAGAAGAAAATATCAGGTCAATCTTCATTCGCAAAGGTCAGTGGAAAGCTACAAGAATTATAATAAACTAGGTCTCCCTACACTGAGAAACAAGAAAAAACTGTTGAGGACTGGGGAAAAAAGCCACCCTGGGAGCAAGTGTTAAAAAAGTAATCTGTTAAGCAGATTCCCGCATCCCTTTGAGTCTCGCGGCACACTCTTAACAAGCTAAGGCATGAGACCTGAGTCGCACAACGTCATGCTCCGTGGGACACGGTGGAGACTGTAGCATACGTGCTGGTTTTCTTGACTCAGAAAACGTGTGGCAACATGCAGTGCAGACTCCACAAACAAACGTGTTCACCTGGGCTTCCCTGGTGGCGCAGTGGCTGAGAGTCCGCCTGCCAATGCAGGGCATGCGGGTTCGAGCCCCGGCCCGGGAAGAGCCCACATGCCGCAGAGCAGCTAGGCCCATGAGCCATGGCCACTGAGCCTGCGCATCCGGAGCCTGTGTTCCGCAAAGGGAGAGGCCACAATAGTGAGAGGCCTGCGTACCGCAAAAAAAAAAAAAAAGTGTTCACCTTCCTTTTACTTACTTACATCAGACACTGACAAATTCACGGAAATAAGAAGCCAAAGTTAGTCTCTAGCATAAAAAAAGACAGGGCACAGGAAGGGTATGCTGGGCATAGGAAGCCCATTTCTGGCACGGTATTGTTGAAATTCTGTAGAGAACTACTTTTTCAAGACAAGGAAGGAGGGATTTAGGAAAGCAAGCTCATTCTTTCATACGCTAAGACTTAAATTTCAGCTCTTTTTTGAAGGAAAGTCTCCTAAAATTACTTTCACCCAACATACACTACACAAGCCAACCTCCTCCTGCCCCTTGTGGCAGGGCACCCACTCTCCGTGTGAAGCCACACAGCTCCTGCTTTAGTCCTAGGCATGCCTCTTGCCCAGCCCTCCCCCTTAGCTTTTCTTCTTGGACTTGCCCTCAAATCTCAATGAAGACCCCGAAGTAGAAGCATCTTGGGTCAGCTCCATCGAGGACTCAGGGGCTCTGATGGTTCTAGCAGGCTAACGTTGCAGGAAGTCCAACCTTTGGATGAATGGAGGTCTAATATATTACGCTAGACTAGAACTCTTATTTATTAATAAACCTACCACCTACAATAAAGCAAGCAGTACAATCCCTGGAGACTGACCTTAACCGCTGCTTATAATAATCTTCATCTCCATCATCTCGGCATCTCACTACTTTCCGACCTCCTCCTCCTCCTCCTGCGGCTTCAGCTTCTTCCCCAGAACTTGGAAAGAAGTCATCATCAATCTCCTGCACTGTGACTTTCTTCTGCCGTTTCTGGCGACTGAGCACCCGTCTCCGGTCACAGTCAGCGTCTTCCCCAGACAGGTCAGCCCCTGCCGCCTCCCCCTGCTCCCACTCCGTGGGCAAGTACTCGGACACTTCATCCTCAGAGTCTCCCTCTGTCTTTGGCCTCACACCACACTCCAAGGGTTTCTTTCCCTTTAGCAATCCCACCTGCCCCTGGAACTGAAGAGCCCTCTTCTGGAGTTTCTTGATGTGTTTTTTCAAGCGCTTATCTGTTTTCGAGAGAACTTTGCCTCTCTTGTCTGGTTTGTTTTCACTGAGTGTTGAGCTCAGCTCAGAAGTGACTGAGGCCGGGGCTTTTTTAGTTGCTCTTTTATTACAAGCTTGCTTCTTTCTTTCAAAGGACAGTTTTGCTTGATCTGCCAAATACTTTTCAAAATCTGATGCTTCGTTGAGCATTAGTTTTCTGGGCTTTTTCTCCTGCTTCTGAGGGATCTGGGTACCAAAAGGTGTCATCTGACCAGTGCGGACGAGCTCTTCCCAAGCAGTTTCCTGAGCAGGCATGAGCATGCTGCCGAGGGAGGACGGCCCTGCTTCTGAAAAGAGGGATGACAACACGTTGGGCACTAGCACAAAACTTTCCAAGAGAACAATGGATATGTGCACTACTCAATACATAAATTTTTTAAAAAAAGAAAAAAAAATCACTGACGTACTAAAGTAGATGACGTACTAAAGTACAGTGTATATGAAGAACAGAGTGAAATTTACTATAGCATTCATGCCACATTTAGTATACTCCTATTCAAAAAGGTAACTTCTCAATAACTTTTCCCAAAACACTGCATTATCAATATACTTTCTGTGCATCCAAAGACAGACCCAGTCATATGTAACATACAGAGAAATTTTACCATGTTTCCTTATCAACTGCCCTTGAGGAAGCAATCTGCCAAGTTTCCACGTCACTGCTAATACCAGCATTCAGATGGACTTAAATACAAGAGACAGCAGAACTGAAAACAGACATCTAAAGAATCAGCATGCACCTAAATAGGTAAAACGTAAATGCTGCCTCTGCACTGCCCAATAGGAGAGTCACCATATGGCTACTTAAATTTACATTGAAAATTCATTCTCTCAGTGGTACTGGCCACATTTCAAGCGCCCAATAGCCACATGTGGCTAAAGGCTACCACAATGGACAACACAGACAGCATTTCCACTATTGCAAAAAGGTCCACCAAACAGCACCGTGTTAGATATGTGAAGTTAACTGACTGAAGGGATGAACTAAAGTTGGAAGTTATGCCATAATAATAGAAAGCCACCCAGAAATCATCCCTCTTTCATTAGTTGAAATTAATCTCTAGCAAAATTACTTTACCCATAGCCAAAATACCAAAAGAAGTAAAGGCTTAATAGGAAGGCATCCATATTCTAAAATCTGTATTTCTTGTAGGCCAATAATAGCACAGTGCATTTTTCATTAAATGTGCACTGAAGAAAAACATACATCAGAAAGTGCACAAATCCTAAGTGTACAGCTCAGTGAATTTTCAGAAAAAAAACAAACCCATAACACCAGCATCCAGATCAGGAAACATAAATTACTAGGACCCCCAGATATGCCCTTCATGGTGCCTCCCACCTGCTACCCCACAAGATACTGACTGCCCTATTAACACGGTAGACAAGTTGTACCTGGCTTTCAACTTAATGGAAATGGGAATGTCTGTACTCGTATCTGGTTTCTTTTATTCAACATCATGCTTGGGTGAGTCACACTTACTATTGAATATAAGTGCAGTTTGTTGATTCTCATTGCTGTTAGTATTCTATTATAACTCTACTACAATTTTTCCATTCTAGTTACTGGATATTTGGGTAGTTTCCAGGTTTGGGCTACTAGGAATAATGTTGCTATTCCAGTACACATTCTTTGGTAAGGTATGTATATAATTCTTTGGGTATATTAAGCTTTAGTAGACACCACCAAACAAATTTCCAAGTGGTCCTATCAATTTTAAGTTCCACCAACAGCGTTTGAGAGTTTCAACTGGTCCACGTTCTTGCCATTCCACTTTAGCTATGCTGGTAGGCACGTAGTAGTACCACTTTGTGGCTGTAATTTGTATTTCCCTCATGACTAATGAACTAGGGAATCTTTACGTAAGATCTGTTGATCTTTTGGGTAGCCTATTGTGAAGAAAATGTTCAAATCTTTTGCCCGTTTTTCTCATATGTGGTCTGTCTTTAAAAAGGAAAAAAAAAAAAAGATTTCTAGGAGTTCTTCATACATTCTGGACTCAAGTCCCTGGACTGATACAGATACTGCAAACATCTTTTCCCATTCTGCAGCTTGCCTTTTCACTCTCTTAAATGCTATCTCTCAGCGACATAAGATCTTAGTTGTAACATAGTTCATTTATCAGATCTTTTCCTTTACAGTGAGCCTTGTTTTTGTGCCTTGTTAAATCTTTGCCCCAAGATCATGAAAATGTTTTCCTATGTTATATCCTAAAAGCTTTGTTTTACCCTTAATGGTGAAATCTACAGTCCATTTGGAATTTATTTTTGTACACTGTATAATGGGCCAATATTCACTTTATCTTCATGTGGGTTAACCCAGCACACTTAGTGAAAAGACAATTCTTCTCCACAGCACTATACTGCCACATCTGTCATAAATCAAGTGACCACATATGGGTGGGTCTGTTTGCTGGACCCTCTACTCTGTCCCATTGGTGTATCTGTCTATCCTTATGCCACTACAGTGTCTTACTTACTATAGGTTAGTAATAAGTCTGGATATTTTGTTCTTCTTCAAGATTGCCTTGGCCATTCTTGACCCAATGCATGTTTATATAAATTTTAGAATCAGGTTGTTAGTGCCACCCACCCTCAGCCTACTCTTCCTACTCTACACCCTCTCCCTCAAAAAACTCCCTGAAATTTATATTGGGGTTGCACTGAAACTATAAGTGGATAGAACTGTATCTTCCAATCTATGACCATGGTGTATCTCCCCATTTATTTGCCTTCTTTAATTTTTCAATGACATTTTGTAGTTTTTAACGTAGAGAGCGCTGAACCTTTTTTTTTTTTTTTTTTTTGGTGCTTTGGGTCTTTTTTGCTGCACGCGGGCCTCCTCTAGCTGCGGTGAGAGGGGGCTACTCTTCTTTGCGGTGCGCAGGCTTCTCACTGTGGTGGCCTCTCTCGTTTCGGAGAACGGGCCCTAGGTGTGCAGGCTTCAGTAGCTGGGGTGCACGGGCCCAGTTGCCCCATGGCATGTGGGATCTTCCCGGACCAGGGCTCGAACCCGTGTCCCCTGCATTGGCAGCCAGATTCCCAGCCACTGCACCACCAGGGAAGCCCGAAAAACTACCTTTTTTTTTACTAAGAGTTATTTCCACATATTTGATTTTGATCGTAATTGCCATCTTTATTAAATTTTATTTTTTGCTTTTGCTCGTATGTAAAAATATGAATGATTTTTATATATTGACCTTATATCCAGTGACACTGCTAAATTCACATGGTAATTCCAACAGACTGCCCATTGATCCTTTCAGATTTTTGATATGACCAATAACATACGCTGTAAATAATGATGGTTTTATTTCTCTTCTTAACATTACTACACTATCCAGGTACAATGCTGAACAGGAAAGGTGACAGCAAGCACCTCATCTCATCCCAGATCAGAGAAGCAAAGCCAACTGTTGCAAAGTTTATCCCACCTAATTCCAGGAAAGGATTCTTTAATCAAATAATCCTCACAACAATTAGGAAACGGATCGCTATGTGGAGACCAGGGGAAAGGAAACCTCAGGGAAGCATGTGAACAAAGAAATGAAGGTCTACTATGCTTATGCCCATCTCAAAGCAGACTTGGAAAGGTTAAAGAATGTAGCCAAGGTCTATACCTGGGCAATACAGAGCTGGGGTACACAAAGCCTAGACACTCTGTTCTCCTGCCCCACCGAACAGAGCACAGAGCACCACGGAGAAGGAAGGTATCCCAGAAGGGATGGAGAAGGAAGGGTTATAAGAGAGACCAGGAGTCTGAAGTGTTAGCTGGAGCCCCACTGGAGAGGATAATAGGAACCAGGAGTTCAGGAAAGGGCAAAAGGCCACAGGTCTACAGATTTATAAGATACTAGAACCTAGGTGGCCACAAAAGCCATAGGGAATGGATGAGATTATTTGGGGAGAGGCAGTATAAGAAGAAGGTAGCTCAGGACTTCCCTGGCGGCACAGTGGTTAAGACTCTGCCTGCCAATGCAAGGGACACGGGTTCGATCCCTGGTCCAGGAAGATCCCACATGCTGCGGAGCAACTAAGCCCATGCGCCACAACTACTGAAGCCTGTGCGCCCTAGAGCCCGTGCTCCGCGACAAGAGAAGCCACCACAACGAGAAGCCCGTGCACCACAAAGAAGACTCAATGCAGCCAAAAATAAATAAATAAATTTATAAAAAAGAAGAAGAGGGCTCAGCAAGAAATTCTGAGAATAATCAACATTTAAGATAAGCCTAGAAAAGCTGGTCAAAAAAAACTAAACAGAAATGGTCAGAAGGCTAAAAGGAAAACCAGAAGAGAGACATGGATCCTGGAAGGCAGGGAAGTGTCAGCTGCTACAGACAGGCCAAGTGGAGTTTTTGGATGGGGGAAGTAACAATTAATCCTGGGCCAAGTTTTACCAAACAAATAATAGGTAGCAAAAGACAGCAGCAAGTTCTAGTCAGCCAGACCAGGACAATGGTTTTTTTACCAATGAGAAATATGGCATTTCAGCAGCAGAAAGCACTCCTCATAGGCCCAATGGATTCTGCGAGACATTAATAGCACATCTAATATTTATTTTTTTTCCAATGCCTCAATTCTCACAATTCTCTTGTCTTACTGAATAGACTTCTGGAATTAGTAGAAAATATTTGCCTGAAGGGTCTAAATCTATACTTCAACTAGTAAGTAAGTGAACAGCTACCAACAATTTCTAAACACACATGCACACACACCGACTACAAAGATATTTCGTTTCTGAGCTTATGCATCTTCCCAAAAGGTTTTCCAAAAGATACCCATCCAGGTCAGTGATATAAACAAAATCATGGCCATGGATTAAATAACCTGAATTAAGATGCCTTTTCTTGAACAACAGAATTGATGCTTGGAAAGCCTGCCAAATATGTCCCCAAAAGATATTTAAAAGCAATTCTATGAATGTTGATGGATGACGCTTGGTCAACAAAACGTAATTCAATCAAGATGTTAGGTCTCTACGAAATCAATTATAAAACAATGTTAAGATTTCTAATTTATCAGACGTAATACTCAATGCACACCAGGAGCCTCCATTAGACTGAGTTAAAAATTTACTTTCTTTCTCTGAAACCCCATAAGACTTAAAGCAGATTTGGTTCTACAGGTGTGGAGAATAAAATTTTCCTGTATCTCTTTTGTCAGTAAGTAAACAAATGTATTTTTCCCAACACCCAGGCCAGAACCGAAGGGACACCCTCCACTGACGAGAGGCATCAGGCATCAATTTGAGAACAGAGACACTGTCCCCAGTATCCTCACCTGCATCCTCCTCCTCCAGACTGGCATGATCTAGTTCGACTTTTACCTCTGCTCCCCCAACGAGAGTCTGGAGACATTTTTGTTTTGCTGTGATCTTTTTCAGCTGTTGTTCCTGAATTGGTAGGTATTGAATACAAAAAACAGCAAAGAAGTGATTAAATGTTAAATACAAACGACAGCATTGCAAAATTTTAAAAACTTTAATCAAGAGCAAAATAAAAATAAAACAGAACTACCATATATCACTATTACTACAGAAAACCTTATTTGAATAACTGCCACTTTTCTAGCAGGAAGGAGCCCTCAAAGCATGTCCATCGGGCAGCATCCCTGTCCCCACCCACTCTCCTGACTGGGCGGCACAGCTCTCTACTTGCCTGAGCAGCTAAGTTCACTGCACTGACTCTCCACTGACTTGGGAGGTGGAACTGCTCTACATGGTTTCCCCAATACACACTGGGTAAATCACTGAATTTCTCTGTTTCTGACCTTAGCAGCCAATGGGCTATGAGGTCAATAGGTTGTAGGGATAAGAAACAAACACAAATGTTCACACAGTTGAAAAAGTCAGTCACCTTTGATAATCTACCAGATTTATGACTGTCCTTTATAGTATCCTACCCAATCACAAAATTTTAAAGGGAAAATCTATTTTGATATACCCTTTTACTCTGTCCTCCCCGGGCCCCGCTTTGTCTTGTCTCCCTCTACATCACCAGAGCTTGGATATGCAGCCATTCCTAGGTACTCCCTAATTAACTAGGCCTGTGGTAGGTGGTTCTTTCTCCCAAGGTCAAGAATGCTTGAACGCCAAACACGAGTGTGGAGCAAGGGGACATCCTGATTATAAACACCATGTTGTAATGACTTGTAATTCCTTTTACTGTATCTCACAGTTTTTCTCTCAGCAAACTCTCATAAAAAACGGCCTCTCTCTGAATAGTCTCTCTCTAAACAGCAAAAAGCTGCTGAAGAAAGACAGGAATATATAACCAAGTTAGACCAGTACCTAAAGGGGCCTAAGATTGGTCCTCTCTGCTCTTCGAAACCCCAGCCCACCAGAAGCCCACTATTCACATGCTCCACGAGAAGCCAGGCGGTCTCCTCTCTGCTTTGGGGAGACCCCGGGTGCCTCAAGCCACTGTGAGCTCTGACCTTTGGGCTGCTGCTGTGGAGTTAAGTGAGAGAGATAGTGTGGAGATCATGAACCGGTGAGTGGAGAGCAAAAGGAGGAACCAAGGCTAACCACGCCCCACAAGTAGAGCCTGAATAAGAGCTGTGAGGACTCTGCTCACTGCACTGAATCAACAGCAAGCACAAGGCCATCTGCTAGTCACTTCGGATGGCAGCAATAAAATGATCAAAACTAGTCATTTCTACCTCCTGCAATATATTGTCATGAAGTGTACATAAATTCTAAAAAATGTTTCAAACCTCATAAAAAACAATGTCATAAGTAACAGACATTCCCTACCCTTAAGTCCTCCAACCCTAAGTGCAGACCCGGTCAGTGTGGCTGGGTGATGACTGAACACCGAAGGCCAGCCTCTCAGAACAGTGATCACGAGTGTGTGAGGGGCGAGGGCTGGGTCGATGGGAAACGTCTGCAGACAGTCAGTGCAAGCAGAAGCTGAGCAGGAAAAAGATCAAGTCCACACAAGACAAGGAGACGGCATGAGAGGCCAGCATGCCAAAGAACCTAAGCTGGGGAAAGAAAGTGGTGCCGCAGGGAGACTATGAAAGTACCCGAGTGAGGGGGCACGCAAAGCCAAAAGAGGAACTTTTTCTCAGTTACGTATGTATGCGTACATATGCGTATTTTTAGAAACACTCTTTAAGCAGAGGATGTTAAAGGGAAACAGCCAAAAAATTAAACGTATAAAAGGAACTCAAAAGTTTCTGTTATAAATTTGCTTCACATCTTACCAGTACTTTTCAGAATAGCTACTTCCTAAATATTAAATGAGCCTAAATAATGACTTCTGCAAAAATGCAACTTAGTGTGTTATTTGGAGTCACCTTGTTATACTTCTGTCGTTTTACAGAATCTAGTTTCCTGTTGATGTCTTTGTTGGTGTCAGCTTGAGGGCTAAGTTGTTCGATAATTTTATTGATTTGCCTTAGGGATGTCGTACATGACCTGAAAAAGAAGATAAAATGTCCATTTTCCACTCTGGTAACACCTTTTACAGAATAACACGGAGAGAAATGCTAAAAACATGTCCCTTTTACTTCTTATTAACTAAAAGACAAAAGAAACTAAACCAGAAGACATATTCTTTTTGGCCACTAATAGAACTTGAAGGGTTATTGGAAGTCTAAGATGACTGCTCATGTTTTTCTTTAATCTGGCCAATTTTAATCAGTTCATTCCCATTTGCAAGCAGATTCATTCATTCTACAAGCACTTTAAGGGTCTATTCTATTCAAGAGACTGTGCAAAGCCAATAGGCAATAAGTTGTCCCTTTATATGAAAAAATGCATACACTTTTTTTTTTGAGAGTTAATTTTTTAGAGCAGTTTTAGGTTCACGGCAAAACTGAGAGGAAGGTAAAGGTTTCCCATATACTCCCTGCCCCAAATACGCACAGCGTACCCCATTACTAACAACTCATACATCCGTGTTTAAAGGCCATTTTGGAAGTCTCCCAAAGCTTGGAAAAGTACTAAAAATATTTAAACATCTTCTTATATAGGTCAGGCAACTGTGACAATATTTTTCTTTTGCATGACTAGAAGACTTATTTGCTGTCGTTTTACACTTTGTAGTGCAAAGAAAAAGAATCAGTTTATAATACATTGCTCCTAAAATAGACATCACAGAATTGTAACTCCCAAGTTTCAAAACACAAATTCAATCTCAACACTTGTGTAATTTGCTGTTTGTACCCTTTGTGGATTTCAGGAAAAAGACGTTATCAATGCAAGTTACTGGCAGTCTCAGTACGTGTCACCATCTGTCTAGTGTTAGGCGGCCTCTAGGTGACTCTGCAGCACCCTGCTCTGTCACCTCTGCAAGCAGTGGATACATTTCCCAGGTCGAATGTAAAAGGTGTGTTCATTACATGGCATCAAGGTCCTCACGCCTGAAGGTCAGACTACAACTATTGGAGAACACCTGCTGCTCAAGAGGCCCAAAGAACACACCGGAAACTGTTAGCAGAAAACATGCCCTTTAAGTGCCAACAGCTGCCTGTACCACAGCGCACCGCCCCCCACCCCCACCCCGGGGTAGCCAAAAGCTCTACGTGCCTCCCTCTCCCTCCCCCAGCCGCTCCCACCTGAGACCACACCATCCCTCCACCCAGTCCTCCCCTTCCTGTTTCCCTGACACAACCGAGAACACTGGCCAAGGAGGGCAGACTGGCAAAGGAGAGCGAGCTCAACTCAGTCCTCCGCCCCGTCTTCCAACCCAGGTCCAGGGCACCCCCTTCCCCGCCAGTGTGCTGTGCGCAACACGGCCCAGGTCTGTTTCTCCTCTAAAGCACAAGTGAAGTCTCTATGGGACTTTACCTTTCTTTATAGAGTCAAAAGTACAACAGAAGAAAGAAAAAGCAGGGAGTTGTTTCTCACTGTTTCTAGAAATGCAAATCTGAAAAGGTACCAAAAGACTGGCCCTAGGTTTAGGCACAGGAAACTGGAAAGAAATTATAGGACGGGGGGGTGGGGGGGCAGATATGTTCCTGGTATCTGGAGTAGGACATATCAGAACTTTAGGAACACTTCTCCTGAGAACCATTCTGTGCACAAGCTTGCAAAACCTGGGGCACTTAGAACAGTGCTTCTCTCCAGGACATCATGTGTAAACAAGCTGCTGTGAACTGAACAGAGCCCCTAACTACTGTGTACAGCGCTTCTGAGCGAAAGGGCTGGGGTTGAGACACAAGGTCAAGGACCACCCTTACTGACCCCATCCTCCAATTAAAGGTTCTATAAATCTCCTAAATTTCTGGACTACCACAGCTATTGTCTGAATCTCTCCGTCATATTTAAATACAAACTCTATAATCAGAGAGAAGGTGGTCCACTCACATGAGGTCGTCCAGCACTGACCGATACTCCTTCTCCGCGTTGGCAAGCTGGCCCACACGGCTGGCCTCATGAATGGCGCTGTCCACCTGCTGAAGCACCCCTTGCTCCAGCACATCCTGGTCATAGACGTCCACACCCAAACCCTGCAGCTCCAGGGCCTGTGCACTGGGCTCCACCGCCTGGATCTGATGTCTGTTGATGTGCAGCAGGGCTGGCCCTCTCCTTGGAAGTTCCAAGGGATACCCCTTGGCGGAAGTGGAGGGTCCATTAGCAGGGGAACAAGAGGGGAGGCTCTCCCCCAGCTCCACGTCGCCATGGTTCTCCTGCTTGATTGTCTCCTCTGCACTCTCACTGATAGCCTGACTCTGTGAACAGTCTTGCTCCTGAGTTTGACTTGAGTGGGGGATTCTCTCATTTGGCATCGTCTACAGACTATCTAAAAGGAAAACAATTTTTCAGTCAGCCCTTCAGTTATATAGAATTGATGATATTTATATAATTTCATAAATATCTTATAATGAAAGCAGACCAATTTCTTAAAAAATCAAGAAATAATCCTCCAATTATACATAAATTTAAGTTCCCAAGTATTTTTCTTAAAAGGGCACAAGCTATAGATCTTCTTGAGTTCTGATAATTGAGAAAAATTAACCAAAAAAAAAAAAAAGAAGAAGAAGAAAAAATGCAGTATCACCAACGAACGACACTGGGGTAGCCAGCTAAGAAAGCTGGCAACCAGAATCCTGAATGATGCCCACAGAGCCTTCTCCAAATCAACTGAAGTCATTTCACCGCTGCTTTCCAAGTCAGCCTCTTCACTGCATTATGGCACAAGTGACCTACATTACAGTGGCAAGATCAACTGTAAAGTACAGATTTAGTGACTTGAGAGAGATTCTCTACAAATCTAGCACTAAAAACTTTTAGGTTGAACTCCAAAACACAGAAACTCTGAACAAGAGGTAATAAATAGCACCACTCAAATCAGAATCTGAGGAAGATTAATTAAAATATTCTCAAAAATAACTCCATTTCAATGCATGATATCATTTCTCACCATCAGGCTGGCAAAAACATAATGACTGACAATATCCAGGAGAGGCAAGAAAAATCCACTTTCACATAATGCTGGTGGGAACATAAGTTAGTAAAATTCTTTTGGAAGGCAATTTAGCAATATCTGTCAACATTTAAAATTCACATTACTAGGCACTTATTCCAGAGAAATACTCACATATACATAAGGATATTTATTGTAGCATGTTTTTAAATAGTTTTTAAAAGGCATTAAGTATTTTCAATGGTAGTGATATAAAAGCCAAGTAAGACGAAAAACGTCACAGCGTACGAAGACATTTATATTGGAAAACAATGTGTATCCACAACTGTGTGTATGGAATGCATTCAAAATGATCTGGAGATACAAACTAAACCTGCGACAATTGGGAGGGGGAAGCAGAAGGAACAGGTAGGAATAAAGGGGAACTCTCACATTTTACTCCAAGAAATCAAGAACTCCTTGAAAGAAAATGTGTTCGCTATATTGCCTGTATAACTCCATCGAATAAATACTTTTATATACATTAAAAAAAAAGTGACAGCTTTTCTTTTTATTTAACTGTGACTAAACTAAGGTTTCTCTCAGCACTAAAACTTTATTTCAATGAAATGATGACAAATTCCCCAACAAGTCCCACTCATTCCTCATTAAATAAAATGATTCCAGTGGCCAAGCACTAGGATACAAAGATGCCAGGAACTTAAGTGTCATCCTGCCCTAAGCAGCTCGCTCACTAGTGGAGGAGAAATATGCCAGTAACAACACAGAGGGGCAGGTGTGTAAAAGAGGCACAGGCAAGAGCCCAGGTGGGGGACTTCCCTGCTGGCACAGTGGTTAAGAATCCGCCTGTCAATGCAGGGGACATGGGTTCGAGCCCTGGTCCAGGAAGATCCCACATGCCGCGGAGCAACTAAGCCCATGCGCCACAACTACTGAGCCTGCGCTCTAGAGCCCGCAAGCCACAACTAGTGAGCCCACACGCCACAACCACTGAAGCCTGCGCGCCTAGAGCCCATGCTCCAAAACGAAAAGCCACCCCAGTGAGAAGCCCGCGTACCGCAACAAAGAGTAGCCCCCGCTCGCCGCAACTAGAGAAAGCCCGCACGCAGCAAGACCCAATGCAGACCAAAAAAAAAAATAATTAATTAATTTTTGAAAGTTATCTTAGGAACTTAATAAATTCTTTAATTCAAATGAAAATCTTTGATCAATGTAGTCTTCAAAATTAACATTACCTACAGTATTTGGAGCAAGTCAGTTTGGAATATACACTGAGATATTTTTCTAACAGTAAAGATATAGAATCTATTTCCCTTTTTTCCTTCTGTTTCCCTGTGACCAAGGGCATATATTTTTTTTTCTGTAAATTCATTTTTTTTTAATTTTTGAATTTTATTTTATTTTTTATACAGCAGGTTCTTATTAGTTACCCATTTTATACATTATTAGCGTATATATGTCAATCCCAATCTCCCAATTCATCACACCATCACCACCACCCGCCATTTTCCACCCTTGGTGTCCATACATTTGTTCTCTACATCTGTGTCTTAATTTCTGCCCTGCAAACCAGTTCATCTGTACCATTTTTCTAGGTTCCACATATATGCGTTAATATACGATATCTGTTTTTCTGAGAAAAAAAGAGGCCAGGTGGGCACAGAGGAAAGGACAGTGCACTGGGTCTGGAGTTCGAAAAACACATACAAACTGAGATTTGAACATGTGACCCAGGATCTGATATACAGGAGGTGTTCATACACCCTGAAAGGAAGTAAGGTTCAGAGAGGAATCTAAAATAACAAGTCTGGTCTGTACAACTGAGTCACTCGTGAATTCAGTCACAAAGATATGAATCAGAAAAGCAGCAGATGGGAAGCAGGGAGAGCTGGCAGTAACGTGTCCAGCTGGCACGCAGGCAGAAATGCAAATCTAGGCTCTAGAGACAATCTGGACAAGATGTGGATGCCCTGGCAGAGTAAACAGCCCCAGGGATCCCAAGGCTGTGACAGGTACCAAAGATCCTTTCAGAGGGTAAGAAGAGGCTAACACTGAAAAGGTTAAAAGAGAACAGCAGAGTAAGAAAGTTCCTCCATTTGGGGCCGTTCTGATTATTTTCAGGAGAAAGGATAAGACTGGCACTCTATCATTTTCAACAGAGAGAGCAGGATTCTGGCTCAGTCTTCATACTAGCTGGAATTTAACAATTCTGTTTTCATTGTTCTTATTTGTATGTATATAAAAATTTCCTTTTCAGGTTAAAAAAAGACATTAAATCCATCAAAATATTAAGTAATAACACTGTAGTACAAAGAAAAGGTTAAAATAATAATGTTTGGAGAAAAGTTCTAATAACAGAAAAAGAGTAAGAGGGAATGGTTAAAAATGGAAAATAATAGGGCAAGTTCCAAAGGAAACCAGAAAGGGTCCAGTGGATTTGGAAAGTAGGTCGCTAGTTACCTTAATAAAAGAAACCTTAGTGGAGCAAAGGGGACAAAGCCAGACTGCAGTGAGATAAGAAGTGAGTAGAGAAGGAAACAGAGGCCTTATCCCCTTAAGGATAGGCCATGGCAGGGAGATCACTGGAATAATAAAGTAATCACAGGATGGGGTAGATGCTGAGTAATTGACCTTGGGGTCCAAGCTGGGTAGATTTTTAAAAAACAAGCCAGAAGTGACTGGAAGAGGGAGGGAAGGAGGGAGAAAGGGAAGGGAAAAGGGAAAAAAGAAATAAGGAAGCAGTCGAGAAGCCACTTGGAGAATGAACCAAAGGGCAAGTCTCCTGGGAATAAGAGATGAAAACAAGGAAGCTCTCCTCAGAACGTAAAGAGTTTCCAAAGTGAAATAAATTATATGACATTCAATAAATATTTATTGAGTGACTTCCCTGGTGGTCCAGTGGTTAAGACTCCACGCTCCCAATGCAGGGGGCCGGGGTTCGATCCCTGGTCAGGGAACTAGATCCTGCATGCCGCAACTAAGAGCCCACATGCCAGCTCAGCCAAATAAATAAATATATTTTTAAAAAATATTTATTGAAAGTCAATTACACCAGGCAATGTACTCGGTTAACTGGTTTCCGTCCCCATAGAGCTTAGAGGCTCTTGCGGATGACACACATTTTAAGAATTTTATATATACATATACATATTTACGTATAAGTATGTATTTATACATAAATTATACACACACACAAATGTAACCGTGGTAACTGCCTTAAGAAGAAAGTACAGGATTCTTTATGACAAAATAACAGAGGAGCCTAATTGACATTGCAGAGGTAGGTGTGAGGTCAGGGAGGTCTCTCTGATAAAGTGGTATTTGAACCAGCATCTGAAGGATGAATAGGACTTAACAGGCCAAAAGTGAACATTTTGCAAAGAAACAGCAAGTCTAATTCCTAAGGCTGGAAAGAGCTGGTGCGGTTGGAAAAATGGAAGAAGGCTGCATTGTGAGAAATCTTTTATTTTATTTTACATGAATAACAGAGTTAAAGGAGCTGATAAAGACTCCATTTATTGTGTAAATTCTACAAAACATCTTCTAACACTCTGCAAGGCTCAATCATCTGAGAAAACAATATCTTCATTGTCTTTCTTTAAGCACTGGGACTTCTGTGGGATGAGCTGGATTCTGGTTGGGAGGTTTGGTTGAATGCAGGCAGAGCTGGGGAGGGGAATGGGCACAAGTGAAGACGGAGGGGCAGGCAAGGGCCCTGAGGAAACACAAAGGGCCTGAGGGAACATGAACTTGGATTTTTCTCCAAGTGTAATGGCGTGACTTCGAAGAGTTTAAACAGGGTGACAATGGCATGACCCAATTTATGTTTGTAAAAGACCAGTTGGACTACTGTTCGCATAATGGATTGGAGGAGTGCAACATGGACATGCTGGGACACGTACGGGTGACAAGTGACAGAAGCTTGGAACTGGGAGGCAGCACTGAAGATGGACGCTACGTGGGAAATCTTTCTGTTACGGAACTTACATGCGGACTGCTCAATCCTCCTTCACATACTCTCACTTTACCGTATCAATGCCTAAAGTGCCTGACTTCTACTTACCCCGATTCTCTCTTTCAAATAACAACTCCAGTGTTTTAATCGAGATCAAACAGGGCCTGCCCCTGCGCGCGGGGGCCCAACACAAAGCAGAAAAGTTGATGCTTAGATGCCGGCCCGCCTGCCCGCGGCGGAACCAGAAGCTGGGACAACCCCCGGCCCCCCAAGGTGAGCGCCCCGCAGCGTCACTTCCGGCCGCAGGTGGGCTGGCGCGTTAGGCTAGCGCCCCGACCGAGGGCCGCCTCCCGGCCCCCCGCGCGGATGGGCTCCTTCCCGGCCGCCTGGACAGCCCGAACGGGCCCCAGACATCTCCCG